TTAAAAAATCTTATAATAATCACTATTATTGGCATGGAGTCTGATTACTATGCACCACAAACCATTTCTTCAAAGAAATTATTATTATTCTACAGATTTTTTGCAGATTTTGTAATTCAAATGCTTCAGCTGCGTTATTTTTTGTTCGTCTCTACATTGAAAGGGAAGGAAAAGCAACATTTAAAACCATTGTTAGAGATTACAAAAGGGAAATCTTATAAAATTACACGACTGAAAAAATCCCACATTTTTTCATATTAAACAAAGCCAACTTCTTGATACGATTTTGCCGTCACAAATTGATCATGGCATGAAAAACAGCATTATCTGCATACTCCACCTTTGTAGGACAAAAGAAGGCATGGCGTGTGACACCAGTTCTCAAGTTTCAGTATTTTAGCGGGTTTTCATTTTTCCGTTACCGGAGTCAGGGGATAATAGTTATATCATAGTGACAGCTCGTATTAAATTACTCGACTTAATATATCAGAGGCCGCCCCATCAAACAAACACGTAACTGTCCATTTTGTACTCGAGCAGACTCGTGTCTGCATTTTACTAACAATGTATGACATATAACTTATTGTAAATAGGAAAGAAATGCATAAATTTAAAAGTGTATCGCAATTTTATTAACTTTACATCTATTTGATACAATAACTTTCACTCACAATTTTACACAAACATAATATGGTTTTAAAGTGCAACACATTTATCTTAAAATCGGACACAGTGTGACATTATGTCAGCTATTTTAGTTTACAAAAAAAATGATATTGTATTATTTCAAATAGAAATACCCCAAGCTGTAGATATTTATAAAAGATGAAGCACATGTTGTACAAAACTGAATGCTAAACTTCAACTGAATTAATTGAATTCCAGGTGAATAAGCAAATACACCTTGCATTTTATTAACAATACAAATTTTCTTTTCCAACAACTACACTGCACATAAAATGTTCAATCAAAATCTAAATAATTAACCGCAAACTGTTCTAAAAAATCCATCAACATGGGTGTTGATTTTATTACAATGTCAAATGGTCATTATTTAACTTCAATAAATAGATTAATAAAATAGATCGCAACATTCATAACGACGATTTTATCAAATCATTACGCGCTCATTGATGCGAACGCCCTTACAATTTTTTGACAAGTTGAATACTATTTCAGATACGCTTATCTGCTTTTCCTGACAAAATTATAAATGTTTTTCGATGTTGTTGAGAGAATAGGACTAAAAAAGTCTACATTACAAATTTTATCGCAACCATTGAAACCCATAAAATGATTCGTTTCACCACAAAACGCCATCAAAATTCAGAATTCCGGCAACATTTATCTAATTTATTTGCAATTTTCTGTAGTAAAAAAGTAATTTTCTCTCGGGTCTACTTATAGCCATTTAACCAACCATATAATAGGGCAAAAAACAATTTGCATTGTCTGTACTTATAGTGAGATTCTAGAAAATTTGTCTCGTAATTTTGTTTCTGGTATATTCGGAAAATGTTTTTTGGGTAAGTTCAATAAAATTAAGTCTTCTCTGACAAAGAGCAGTTTTCTCTGCAAAAAAAACATTAAACAATTCACTGCTTTATAATATTCAGTTATTGTATGAATTAAATAGTTAAAAAAAAACATGTAAAACGAGTACTCTAATGATTTTCTTGGAGGCGATACATGTCTAAAGTAATTTGTTCTCTGCCACTGATTCTTTACAGGATGAAAGGTAGTGAAATTTAGTTTCATGTACAGTCATAAAGTCTGATTTTTTTTTAACCCTAAACCCTCAGTACCTGATGAATTTCTTGAATGGACTTATCAAGCCTTCTTATTTGGAACAGTCCATAAGCAATTCAGGGGATAATAAGATGAAAATTTAAATTTAAGTACAACAAAATAGTCATTTGAACAATGACCACTTTTTTGAAAAAGACTTATCAGTTCCAGAGCGAGCCGTAAATACGGACTGAAATACATCTGACAACACTATTTCTTAAACTTGGAAAGAATCCAAACAAACAAAAAACAGTTGGTAACATTTAAAGCTGTTATATCTAAAAATGACAAACAGAAATGAAAAAAAGACCTTTACTGAAATTAAGATTATCTTTTTTTTTCTAACATAATTATCCAAATTTTTTACAAGATTTCCACTCAAGAACCTGTTCTGTAAGTGGAACCACATGGATTGTTTACACATTCGTATTTATGTATCTGTTTTTTCAACTGGGAATAATATAATCTTTAAATATTTATGCTAATGTTTTCTATAAATAGAAACTAGATTTTGCACTGAATAACATAATGTGGGATCTTAAAAATGAAAATTTTCAGACATCTCTGTTTCCAAATAGAGTGTTTCTATTGGTCAGATTCAAATGAGTGCTTAATATCATCCAATCAGATGCTAAGCATTGGCAACTGCCTCTAAAACAAGCTTTAGACCATTAAAATAAATTACTTAACGCTACAACCACGTTTTTTGAAAGAATCTCAGGGTTATTGTTTTATTTTTTTGTCTTAGTGGCACCTGAACTTCTGCAGAAATTTTGTTACATGAAAAGACTATCTTATGGATCGCCTTTTTTTTAAACTATTAAATCAGTTCGCAGACAGTTTACCTAATAATTCGAGCCACATTAAAATCCTACAGTGAAACATAATTTCACGACCTGAAATTATACTGTCAGGTATATTACTGTGTAGGCATAGCATTTTAATATGTAACGCAATTTAATATGCCATAGATTCTAGGATTTAGACATTGTAATTTGATACAAATGAAATATTTATTTCCTCATCAAGATTGACTGACTATTACAGAATAGACCAGTAGAATGCCTTATAGATTTCATAGGCGTTCATTATTCCAGCATCACACATCTCTCACATGCCTTCGCAACCAAGATTCCATTTCTTGAAACAATTTTCTCGGGAGAAGAAAAAATTGTCCTGCATTTTATAATCAAGCCGGGATCCTGACATGAGGTAATTTGAAAATATCTAGTTTCATTTATACTTTGATGAAAAAAAAAGTTAGTGTCCTCATTTGTTATTCATTTCGTTAATTAAAATCTCCGATTTTCAGCGAAGGAAAGGGAAGCAATCATTAATTAGTTTTTCATTTATCAGTTCCTTCCACGTTTGACGTGCCCTAAGGTCCTACGTTTTCAAAGACAAAAAAACGTACAAACTGCTGATTGCCATCATTGACTCGCTTCACTCCAATACATCACCCGCGCCTTATTACATTTCACAAATATAGACAGAAAAGATTTAGATTTTGCGAAAAGAAAGATGTCTGGACAAATCAAAACAGAAACAAATATTAGGACTATATAATAATGAGAATGATTTTATGATAATAATTCACCAATATAATATTTTATCTAAGTGATGTAATGGAGAAAATTTAAATCTTTTCATTATATTATAAACATAATTATATAATTTATTACGTAACTCCATTGATTTAACAAAATTGAATCATAATACTTCAAAGGGTTTTGAGTATTAAAACAAAATATATTGACTTCAACCAACAGTAAAGAGCCTGGCCTGATTGCATGGAAGTGCCAGCTGGCCTGACTATACTCACGGATGGCAAAGGCTTAAATCTCATTTGGTAACAGCAGTTAATATAGGGTAAAATACACTTACCTACTTGTATTTCAAAAGATAGCACTAATTTAACATGATATTTCAATAAAAATAATTCAAGGTCTTTTTTGCAAAGGAATGGGTGGTTTTATCTGAAATATTATAATCATCACTGAGGTATCTAATAATTATGCATATTATCTGATTCCGACTTTTAATTTAAAATTTTTTCCGTGTCTACAAATAATTACACATTTTATTTACTCCCCCCTTGTGTTTTTTACACTCTGTAGGGTTTTAATTTGCATCTACTTTCCCAAAAACCAAAAATTTTTCTAAAAAAATGTAAATAATGAAACACACATTATTAAAGTGGGGCATAATAGTTTATTATGACTTTGTTTTTGTACGATCTAGACTCTATAACTTGAAAAAACTCTAAACCAATTTCCTCCAGCTTTCAATTTATTACTTGTATTCACTTTAAAATTATATGAGAAAATAAATGACCATAATTAATGATTTTGTGTCTTTCTCTTGAAATGGAAAAAAGTCACAATCCCTTATATTATTAACATTTATCAATTCATAAAATTAATCATTTATTTTAATAAAGGCCAGTCTTAATTAGTGTAATGCTATCTATTTATGGGTTTAATATAAATCTGGAATTCCCACACTCAAAACAAGAGCGCAATGATCGAATAAGTTAAAAAAAACTATAAACAGACAAACATATTAAATTTGTATGACAGAAGGTTTCATATTTTACATACAAAATCTTAATAATATTATAGAATCTTAAAATATAAAATATCTTAAATAGACTTGTCCATCTTTATTTTTGGATGAAACCATTCATTGTTGAAGGGGAAACACACTGAAATATATACTGACTTTAACAGAAAACAGTGCAGACCATGATAATAGACAGGCAAAGAAGAGCTGGGTAATCTTGGTCTGTACTGGTAGCAATTATGGCAGCAATCAATCACTGTTAGCAGTCTTAAAGTTAATAACAACCCTACAGCAATTATTTAGTATGTAAATATTTATACATTATTGTTTCATTTTAGTGTATTTAATTTGTATTATACACTTTTTGTAAGACTATAATTGTTTCATTGGGAGTATAAACCCTAAAGTTTGATTAAAATTATATAGCAAATTACAAAGATGCATTGGTATCATCCAGTTATGACCACTGAATATTACTTTTGTTTCTAAAAAATTTTGGGAACAAGTTGAAAAATTTTCACTTTCCGCTTACATTTTTTTAATTACGGCAATGCAATAAATATAGGATGGACATCGTTCTTGCATGGCATCTAAAACAGACAGAAAAACAACATGAAGAATATAACATTGAATACGAAATATGCACTTACCAGTTACAGAATGTAATATCCAAAACAATGAAAGTGTGCAGTACACGTTCGGCGGTTTCATGTTTTCCAAGCACTGTCTCAGTGATCAGATGTCTGGACTAATACTTCCATGACAGAATGACCGGCACAAGGCTCATGAAGTTAAACTGACCATATTCAAATTGCCTTTCAACCACACACTGTAAATACACAAAACGAACAATCATGTAAATAACAGCAGTGATAATTGATCATAATTGATAATAATTGATAATTATGCAAATTTCATTAGGTCTCTTATCTGTATGAAACCAGGGGGTCTGATGTAAGATTTATTCAATAGTAATTCAATTACATTTCTAGGTCAGACGATGGGCTGAATAGGAATGCTAATCATATAATCAAATAAAAGTTTGGACTGCTGCTTTAATGAATAACATTACATCAAACAGAATCGCGATATCAGCAGACGACAGGTTTTTCAAAATGCAAATCTATAGAGACTTATCTAATCGTATCATTTTTCGATATTTCTCATTTGCACAAAATGGATTATTGTCATTATAGCTTCGGGACTTATCAATTACAGTATCAATGGTCACTCAAACAAAATTTTATCATAAAATTTTCATTAAATAAAAAAAACATGTATTGCTTTTTGAGATATTATGTAATTGGATAAAGTCAGAGCATTTCCCAATGCCTAAACCTAAAGATCCATTACAAATATAATTTCATTTGTCACAGAATAGCCTTGAATGATTCACACTGTATTATTTGCGTGTTTTTTTTGTTTGTTTCATTTTTTAAAAATACAGCAAAAAAGAAATTCAATAACAATTATAACTGCTTGGTATTACGCTCACATTTAAAAACAAACGGAATTTCTAAGAAATGGACACCATAGGGGACTTGCAACATTTCACTGTCATAATAAAAGAAATTGCTCCGAACAAGAAAATATCTTCGGCACAGTCCTCTCGGGTATTGGCGAACAGCCACGATGTTTGCCAGAGGATGCAGAGGTCAGTGTATCCTGGGAAAAAAAGAAGATGTTATATTTCTAACGGTATCATAACAGTGTCCAATATTGTAATTGTTTACGGAGAAATTGTAGCAGAAACTGTCGGCAGAAAACTGTAATTCTCGATGAACAATGATAGACGAACCCCTTGAGAATACATCTTCTATTGTACAAACATCATCGTTATTGAAGATAATGTCAGTTTTTGGCTTCCCAACAAATCAGTTGAAAAATTTTCTTAGACAGAAAGATGAGAGTAAATATTAGTGGAGTACTTCAACACACTTCAAACATAAAAAGAGAAACTGAGCATTCTCATATTAAAAAATTTGTATCTCTTTTTAAGCAAGACTTTTATTGTGTTTATTGCTTAATTAAGATACAACTTTTTATATTTCTATATCATTTCCAATGGCAACCGACGTATGATTCTATAAAACGTTATGAAATGTTCAAATTCATAATTCATTAACATCTTTTAAGGGTTAAGTGGTTTAAACTTTGTTTAATAATAAAGGTTTTATGTAAATTTAATTTATTTTTTACTCTTATTATTTTACAAATTTTGCACATATTTTCAAATGTCTTCTTTTTCTTCCAAGGCAAATTTTGGCATTTTCAATTTTCAACCCAGAAAATGATAGGTTTTTTGTGTGTATGTGTGCACAGGGTCTTGACACAGTGATGGGGTAGTTTTGAAAGTAATTCTAGAAAATTTAAAATATTCTGTATATATAATATATAGTCTTCTGATAGTGTAAAAATTATATATACAGTATATATTTTTTATCAAGAATTACATTTTACACTATCCCAACACTTCTCATTTTCTTGTCATAGATAATTTGAGCTGCGTCATGACAAAACCAACATAGTGCGTTTGAGACCAGCATGGATCCAGACCAGCCTGTGCATCCGCGCAGTCTGATCAGGATCCATGCTGTTCGCTTACCAACTCTATTTCAAGTAGAGAAACTGATAGCGAACAGCATGGATCCTGATCAGACTGCGCGCATCAGGCGGATCTGGATCCATGCTGGTCGCAAACGCACTATGATGGTTTTGTCATGATGCGGCTCATTTAAATGGAATGTCTCTTACGAGTAAAGACTGAGAGGACCCTGCTGTTAAGCTGGGCTCCTGTTGAAACCTAATGATCCGTCAGACTGTAGGGGTGTGCATGCTGGTCAGCTACATTTGTAATTGTGCCACTGACACAAAACTAATGTTCAATCCTTTAAACTTAACTATAAAATTTAAAGTTAATTTAATTGCTGGCATTTGTTCGTTTTATGCAGAAATAATTGGTCACCTTTAGTGCATAACGGGTAATGTCCTTCTAAATTTAATAGGAGTTATCCAGTTATTGCACAAAGGTGATGAATTTATATAATGATATTTATTTTGTTACTTGAGTGCATGTATAGCATAATTAAGTGAAAATATTATACATAAATTATACATTTACTATTTTACTATTAGAACATTAATATAAATATCTAAATCAGCCTATAGTTTTTATTATTATTTTATGTGTATGGGAAAATTTGACACTATATATCAATGGACAAAAATCTACAAATTTGTTGCTTTGACATTTTGAACACATGGTGAACTATACAATATTGTGTTCCATACTTAAAATTAACACTTCAAAGTAATACATTAAGAACTGACTTTTTCTTATCATCAATTTTAAATTTTACCAGATTTTAATTTTATAGAATTTTACGAACATGAACGTGTGAAAATTTCACTCACAATATGTAACTTCTACTCCCTCTGAATTGAAAACTAGAATGATTATAAATTACAACGTTTTAAGTGCTGTTTTGAAAGCTGTTGCTTTTTTATGAGGTGCTGTTAAATGAGGTACTACAGTAACACATGTTTGTCAAAGTATCGCAAATATTACGCAACAACATTGCACTGCAACAACAACAAAAAAACCCGAAACACTCTAATCTTAATTTACACAACTTCTCAAATCTCTCTGTTGCTTGTGTGAACTGTATTCTTAATTCCTACATTCTTACAGAATGAGAAATTTGGTATGGCACGTAATTTCTACTCACCAATTAGTTCTGTAAAAAAAACACTAGTTTCTTTTATTTTTCGTTGTAGCTAAAACCAGAGTTTAATCCAATATTCCTTAATAGAGATGCGCTTTGCAGCGTACTTTTTTTTATAATCCAATAAAAGTGTTCTAATGAGATAAGCTCATTTCACTCACTGTAATATAGTAATTTCCGAGTTTTAACTGATTTCCCGCATAAAATATACAACAAACAGCCTCCGTCTTTTAAAAATAGAACGTCGTCTTAATATGACACTAAACGTTTACTCCCAACACCACAAAAACAGATATTATTTCTTCATTTTACGATCCGATTTTACGCCACTGCTATTACAGGAAGAGTATGTAAATAAGGGTATATTACGAACACACGACCCGTTAATAATTACAATAGTCACGCGTTGTAAACTATCCTTTAACCACTACAATACCCTCGGTGCATTCCAAATCAGTACATCTGATAATCGCTGTCAATTTGAAAAAAACCTTTACTTAAATACCTCTTAAATACCTTCAGTTACTATACTATTCAAGTACAAAAATCACTTGAGCAGTTTCACATAAATTAATAAATACTACAACATATCTACTAAAAAATTTCACGAATATTTATCCAATATTCATAAGAAAGTGATAAAAAGTGTTTTAAAAATTGCCCGTAAACACTGAATTTTATTTGAAATTAATAGTCATTTACACTGTACTGTATGAAATTAAAATATAAAATATTTCCTGAAGTGATATTCAGTTACGTTTTTGACTTTCTCCGAGTTAAATGTAACAGTTTTAAATGAATGCAACATTCCAATGTACGACCAAACCACTTGTCAGGCAGAGAGACGCAAAGACTGGGACGAAATATAAAATGCTGTTAGAAATTCCAATACAACAGGAGTGCGAGAGAGAGTAACATATGATTGTATTTCTCTGGTTTTCTGTATGTTCGCCTTTCTCTGTGGCGTGTAACGTACTTCCCTGACATCGTTCGGGATTAGGCAAACATTATTCATATGAAAATGGATTTTCACAACTTAACAACTCATGTGTATAAAAAACCTTTTAACTATAAATAATAATAATAAACCTCATGTTCATTAATGAAATTTCCATTCTTTGGTGGTCATGAATACTGATTGAGACTTGTAAAAAATTGATAATGTTTATAGTGTCAAGTGATACCCATAAAATTGAAACAAATGGCCGCGAATATAATTTCATAGTTTAAAATTTGTGAAGAAATAAAAAGGAGAAATTATAATTGGCAAGAATATGTAAAAACATATTGCAAAAGACTTCATAATAATTCAAATTACATGTACTACACTATGATGCCATGAAACTTCATTAATTCTTTGAAATTCAATTCATTTTAGATTTAATCATTCAAATTCAGGTTATATAATTATGAAATATATATGATTTCTCTGTGGTTAAAATGTGGTTAAAACTTAAAAAGAAGTCTGAAATAATATATTCCATATATCAGGTTAAGTTACTGTGGTTTAAATATTGGTTTCATTAAAGTTTACATGTGCGGGTCTGCTTGGCTAAGTGGTAACACAGCTCCTGAATTTGAACATTCCGTTATTGCGACCCTTAACCTGCTGTAACCAAAAGTTATTACCCTCAGCCAACCAGGTCAGCATGCTCGTAAGTGGAGCCTGACTATGCTCTGTACTATACCTTGAGTCTGGCGCCTAAGACCAAGCGACCATCCCGACTGACGACGGAGGGTTTATGCAACAATGAGATTTAAGACTTCTATCATCATTGAAGATGGCTCTTCTCACATTTTTTTTCAGTTTTAATCAGAATTATCCAATAATATATTTTTTGTCATTTAATTTTAAAGGAGAAAACCCAAGTCTGTGGTGATTAAATGTTCGGAAATGTCAATTTATCCCTATTGTTTAAAATTCTCTAAAAATGAATCTGATTCTTTTTTAAATTTGAATTTTTGTTCTAAACAAAGAAAACCTAATTTCATTTTTTTGGAAAAGTAATGGGGAAAAAAAATATCATACTGGAATATAAGGATTTACTATTTACTATCCAGTATCCTTACAGTGTTTTTTATCAATCAAGCTGCCCTTTGTTAAAAGCATAATGAAATAATAATAAGTATCTTTTGTCACAAACAATCCTTCAACTTTATTTACACTGCATTAATGAGAAATATATTAACTCAACATTTACATGTTTGGTCTAATTTCATTTCAATTAATATGATACTCTCATCTATTTATTTAATCTACAATTTTCATTTTGTGCAAAATAAAGGGCAGAAACAGATCCAAAATTCAATTACTAGATACTAATCAATTTGCATTACTTTGCACAAAAACCAACTACAGTAGGGAAGATTCTGATTTAATCTCTAAGGCTTTGACAAAAGACAAGTTCAACTTATTGTAGATTAAAATGAAGACGGAAGGAAAATATTATTTTGTTTTCAAAGATAATGTGTCAAGGTCATATAGCGATTTTCTGACTCAATCTACTACAGTTTTTTCAGACATGATCTTGCATAAAAAGAACTTAATTTAGCTTAAGTTATCTATAGTAATTTTATGTGTCGGCCTTGAATTTATAAAACATTTTTCTGAGCTCAGAGTGTCTCAAATCTCTGGATTTCCATTGGTCAGTATACTTTATATCTATGTCACCTTTTGGTTTCTGACCAATCAAATACTTGAGATCCAAGTTTGAGCATGGAACATTTCTTAATAACCTCAGGGGATCCTGATTATGCAGGATAATATCTCAAACTCTTTTTACCATGACAACAAAAATAACCACTAAAGGCATGAAATTCAAATGATGTTTAAAATTACATTACATTACATTTACCTAAGGTTAGACTACATTGTAAATTTCTAACTTCCTAAATATTAAATATTAAGTGAAAAATTGAAAAGATATCTCTTGTTTCTTCTAAGGGAGAGTACTCTTCAATGTTCCTTTGAAAAAAAAATATTCCAAAATCAGGGGACAATACTCTTGTGGGTACAACTTTTTATCACTTTTATCATAATTATATCATAAACAAGGGGCACTAACTTTGCAATATACCACCTCCTAATTAATATTTTAAAATCAATCTCCAATTTAGCAACGCTAAATTAAGAAACTGAAGAAAATTAGTTTGTGTTCCAACTAAAACAGAGAAAGAGAATTAACTGTCAATCTGTTACCATAGTAACTAAATTAGGCTTACACTTTATGAGAATTTAAGTAAGTTAAACATGCAAAAAAAAGTAGGAATAATAAAACATTTACGGTAAGTTTATGTCTTCTGCTACTCCAGACAGAGCTATGGGGGACATTTCTTTTTAGATAAGCAAATCTAAAAATGACATTGCGGTTTGTTTAACAACTTAATAACTTTCTATTTCATGACAATTTTTTTCAAAAAGTTAAGCAATTTGAGCTTCCACTAACACTGAAAATGCCCTTGAAACGTTTTTACTGTATTTAAACAACATGACAATTAAATTTACTTTTTTTATGAATATAGAAAATGAAGAAGAATTATTGCCAGCCTTGAATTACTAAGTGGCCAATTAAAACTGCATAAAACTGCAAAGTATCAAATTCACTATTTATATGGATTTAAATCTAGGAAATTTCCATGACAATTATGAATTCCTTGCCAATCCCATAATGCACATAGAGCACCTAGCCAAGGGCACTGTGCACATCCATGTTGTATGACCAGATCAAATTTACATTACTTTAAAGGGAGTCTGCTATTAGGATTTTTGACACAGGACTAAGAATATTTTTTCGATATTTATGTTCCATACGTAATTTAGGTCTGAACACTCTGGTTTTTCTCGGGAAATTATTTAATTTGTGAAAACTAACCAAAGATGAAAAACCTTTAAAACAAAATTCCAAATTCAAATCAGGATTATTGTCTATTGCATATTTTATAGCAGGCTTAAAGGGTTAATTTATGAATATTTATGAATTATATGCATAACTTGATCATTCAAAATAATTATTATATCTCTTCGCCACATAATAAATGAACACAAATTATCCCTTATGAAATTGAATGGGAAATAACGGGCAGTAAAATTGTGGCCGGCTTTTTCAATAATCCGAGCTTAATATTTTATTTAATCACCTTACTATTATTTTTTCATTTCCGCCACCCAAAGCTACGCACAAGTTGAAGAGATTTATGTCCCTTTAATAGCAAAGGTTCCTGATCGTAAAATCCAGGATGACGGTAGAAAATGACAAATAATTTGCGAAATTTATGGTGGCTTCCCCTTTGATCAAGTGTCATAAAACAAGAAACATATGACTCTAAAAAAAGCTTTTAGAGTGTGTGTCAAAAGTGTTTCTAACAGCTGTATAAAAACATAAGAGAATATAATTCCGCTAAAAATTTCAATCAATCATATCATTTCTTTTATCTCTATAGAATCATAAAATTCAACGTTATAGTACATAACTGTTAATAACTACGCATTAACTGTTTGAAATTTGAAATAAAACTGTAACAAAATCTACAAACATAGTATCTGTCCACCAGATGTAACATACATGACTTTTACAGTACTGGGACCATGTGCTAATGCTGAATACCAAATATCAAGTCACAGCTGTGATAAGTAGTTGCTTAAAAAACTGTTTCAAAAAGTTTTTCCCCGCCTGCCCACCCGCTGCCCGACATTCACCATACTGTAACCCAGTGGTTTGAACCTGTGCAACCCGGCCAATAAGAGTCTGATTGTGTACATATGGATTGCAATTTGGTAAAACTTTATGACCGAAATTATGTGTTTTATATAAAAGCTACAATGGGAATAACTTTACTAAGGTTTTGGAGAATGATCTCTCATGCAAAATGTCTGAATAACATCTTTAAAACAATTCAATATACCAGTGAACATGAGCCGACATATGCAAACAATGTGACCACTTTAACAAGAGTGGTGGCCCTTGAAAAGGATGTACTTTAGCCAGGAATTTGCAAAAATCTAAACTTGCTTCCTAAGCAATGTAAAACCAAAGGGTTTTTAAAATTTCCTTGATAAAATGAAAAACAAGAAGCCTAATATCTACATGCAATACCAAAGACATTTTCCCTATCTACCTACACAATGCACTGAACAGATCTAAACACAATCATTTTTCAAATTGAAAAAAAAAACCCAACACATATACTCTCCAATTTCTGGAGGGCTGAAAGGTGTATCAATTCTGAGCTTCACAATTCATTTGCTACAGGTGTTTCAGATTTATCTTATCAAAGTTCTTGTTAAGATAGATGCAGGTTTCTATTACATGCAGAGAGCATCAGTCATTACCCACATATTCATGCTACTGTTTTTCTCAATGAAAAACTCATTTATTTACCCATCCTGTCACTGCATATATCACTGGAAAAAATCACAGTATTGTCTTCATGTTTCTTGAAGTTGAAAATCAAACCTGTCATTTGAATATTTTTTTTAAACCAGACAGGTTTAATGAGAAGATTACTAAATGTTTAATTTTTCAGAATTTCAGGGTTTTTTTTTTTTTTGGGGGGGGGGGGGGGGGTTCAGATTTTTTGTTTGTTTTTGCAAAATGATTGTGAACTGGTGCTGAGATATGACTCACATGATATTTTAGTGCTTTTTTCACCATTGTATGGTTTAGTATTTTAATACAATTATTTATACAAATGTATGGTATAGGCTTTTACCATCTTTCTTAATACTGTTTTAATGGCTTTGAATGGCAGGACTTTGTTATCATATAAACTAACTATAGAAAATATAAATTCATATAGCAGCACAGGGTTTTCATAAGGAGGCGGCTTAAGGGGCCGATTTAACAGCAACAACAATATACATGTATATCCAACCTGAATATTTATG